ATCAGGTTTGTTATCCATGTTGCCGACTCCAAAGAGTGGCAAATCAACGATTGGTCTTGGTGGTGCTAACAGCAAGAGCGCAGGCATCATGCTACCGCCTTCAATGAGAAATAAGAACACTTCGAACAAGGCACGTTTTTTCCTTTGCTAAGAAATTTTCAAAATTCTGAAACTGGAATTCAAACGAGCACCGTCATACTTAATCGATAAATTTCTGAAAGGATGAAGTTTGACGACGTATTTTCTTCTCCTTGATGAAGCGAAAAAATTTATTCATTTAAATGTCATGCGCTCGTTTGCTTTACCCTTTACCAAAAAAGTAAGATGGGGAATAATAATAAAAAAGAAACATATGGCACGACGGAAAGCAAAAACGTCTAGAATTTGTTTTTTTTTTCTCTGAAGAATGCATCCATGCGTTATTTCATAGCAAGATTTTGCTGTTTTTGAAGGCATCACTGGAGAAACAGGCTACTACGAAGCGGTCCGCGGCGTCCGACGATTCTGATGATGACGATTTACCCACAGATTTCTTCGGCTTGTCCTCTGCACCGGAACCGAAAATTCCTAGAGTGGGAGACGTTCCCGCTCTGATCGATGGCGTAGCTGACCTCGTAGGGCCGTCACGTCCCATGAAATCGGTGGGTAGCTTGGATTTTTAAGTGAACCCCGTATTTTTGTACACACTGTATGCTCAAGTAAACATGCACTAATCTTTACGCTCAACACTACAATACCCTTCGTTTTTTTTCGGTTGGCTGACGGTGAGTATCTGGCTTTTTTCAGGACGTCGATGTGGACGAGGCCTATGGCTATCCTGAAGTTGGTCCTTCTTCTAGCGAACCGCCAATGGAAGGAGTCATTACTGATGAGGTCTGATTCTTAGCACAACACCTAATTGAGCAATTGGATTGAGTTGTGATATGAAGTCCCTTCTGTAACTCCCAATGAGAAGAGCTATCAAACTGCAGGGTAAATGCTTGGACTCCGAGTTATTTAGCTGGGGTGTTGCTTCTTGAAGTCGCCTCATTTGCCAGCTGGCGTAGACTTACAGTAGACAAGCAGTGCTTCCAGTCAGACTTGTTAGTTCGAGCCTTCCCTCCCATCAAGTTTTAAATATTGGTACCGAAAGCAGCGTTACTGATGGCTAAACCGAATAAGTTCAAATTGCCTAGTGATGTCTCTAAGATGTTCAACTTCAACCTATTTGGTTCATACTTATATTTGATCATTTATCGTGAGAGCAAACTGTATCGAATATAGTTAAGGTATTGCCATCAATTTGATGGTGTTCAAACCATCTAATTCTTGGTGTAAATGCAACCCTTCACCCACGACTGAGGACACTGTCTTGGTTATGGTTGCAAGGTGGCCAGTGGGTGCAATCTCCAACCCATCCAAGCTTGGACGCCACTCTGGGTACACCACTGCTTACCCTTCCTACCCACCTACTGTCGAGGTCGCTGCCTAGCAGCCGGTGATTTGTCACAGCGCACAGGGCAGCGTGCAAATGTTGCCTCAGGACTCCTAGTGCGCTTCAACACATTTGACCGCTCGTCGCAAGCCAGCCGATTTTTCCACCATGCCCCTTGTCCGGGAACAGTTGCTGCATCTTTTGAGACCATCATCGTTGTTGGTTTTATCGAAGAACTGATCCAAGCTCTGAGTGTCTGTATGAATTGGCTGGTGGGGTCGGGTTATAGTGTAGCGTATAATAAGTGTGGCAGCATATTATGTGGCATTTCAGGTTTACTTTGATTTTACTGGAAACCCAAAATCCATGCTGTTGTCATTTTTAGGTTGAAGTAGGGTAGGTCCCATGTTTTGGTCTGACCGATGTTGGGCAGATGTCCCCCAGTCGGAACAGTCTAAGAGTAGTAGAATAGTCATAGTCTTTGATGTTTGAATTATACCCTACTGAATGTGTAGAAGGAGGCTTTGAGTGTCCAATAAAACGCCCCAGAAGGTAAGAATATTTGAAGTCTGTGGCGTTGACCGTCGCACACGTTGTACTCAAGGTTGTCAGCGTTATCGTTCCTAATTTCATTTTATCATAAAAATTTAGTTATAAGATTGCATGATGGTTTACGACAAATCGAAGTTTAGGTGCTTTCAACTTGTTCAGTCATTTCAATGCAATTTTTCAGGAAGCCCGCCGGCTCATAATGAAGTATGAAGTCGGGCCTATGGGGTCGATGGATATTCGTAGTCTCAATTCCGTTGCAGAAGATATTGTAGATATACGAGTGGATGACGTAAGTTTCATTACTTCATACTTGGTAGCTACATTACAGTATTCCGCAGCGGTCAGCTCAAGACGAGTGCGGCTGTAAAGTCTGCGAAATCGATAAATATTTTGTAAATTGTTGTATGGCATGTTTTCCGATTGAACCTGGACATCTTAGCAAGAATTGTATATTGACAGATTTTGGCTCCTATGCTTTGTTGACAGGGATTCTAAGAGTTTTTATTCAGGCGCTCGGGCCAGATGTTCGAGCAACACTGTTGAAAAATTTGCACGTGGCTGCACGCGCCAAAGACGCGATGGCGCCTTTGCCGAAGTCTAAGAATCCAGCCGACGTCACGTCAAAGAGAAAGCACCAGATCACATATCTTGCGAATTTGGTTAGTTCTTCTGCATGGTATCGCTCTGTCAGTCACCTGAAGAAGGGGCATTCTTTCCTTCCTCGTTCCAGCTTTTTGAGGGGTCGCTTTCTTTTTCTAATTTGTACGTGGTGTTGTTTGTTCCACGTTCATGGACTATCTAATCCACTACTGCTTCCAGGCTGTTGCGCGCGAAGAGGCGCTCCAGCAGCAATGGGCCGAAAGCAAGCAAATGAGGAGAATGGGTCGACAAAAGTATGGTTTCTAGGCCCATATTAACCAATGCCTCTATATTTCGTAATGAACTCATATACACCACCTCATTTTTGAAATATTTCTAACTGAAATTTTTAGAAATAAACCTTTTTGATGCGTTCTGAGCTTCGGAGAGTGAAACATAAGAGCCTGAGTTTTAATTAAACTATTAATAGATCAAGTAGCCTGTGTTGTCAATAATTTCCGCTTACGTGCGCAATGCCACCTCGGCTGCCAAACTGCTAGGCTAGACACGACAAGGCGTTGAAACCGCGGAGTCACGCCTAGGAAACAGAAAGTCGGATTGTAACGTCGGCAGGGAAAAGCAGCTGTAAGTGTAAGGTCAGCATCGCATAGGAGAGCGATAGATCCTTTAAACTTTGTCGCCGCCATGCGCGCTATTTTCAGCCCGCTCAAGGAGAAAGTTGTTAAAAACCGCCGTTAAGAATAACCCAGCATTGTTGTGAAATCTTTTGTATGGTACCTTGCCGCTAAAATACTTAACAAATTACTTATTATCTCTTCCTTGTTAGGGCCCTCAGCCTCGCGGTTCACTTCCTATGTCGGTTAAAAATTGTCACACCGGATAGGGAAACAATTTCCGTAGATGTGAACAAATGACATTTTATTCATTTACAACGTAATTTCGCTAATATACTGTTCATAAGACGAAAGCATAAGAGTAAGTAGCATGAGGTCATTCAATGAAATACGTTAATCAGTAGAAATAAAATCATTGTATGGAAAGATTTAATCAGAGTCTTCCTCATCGCTACTTGTAACGATCGAATCCGCGGTTATCTCAAGATCTATTCCTCTCCTATGACGCTTTCGTAGATCTCGAAGACGTTGCTGTTTGCGTTCACGCGCTTCCTGCCTACGCTTTTCGCGGAGGGCACGTTTACGAGCTGCAAAACGAAGTAACTCACATAGTAACCACGCTAGACAAGCTACATTTTGGCACCTGACAAGCTGAAGGACAGAAAAAAAGGTAACGGTATCACACTACACTCACCGGCAATCTGCGTTTCCCTCTGACTAGCCAAATCGTAGTCCGCCGTTCGGACCTTCAGCCAACGCTGCTCGCGTATTTCAACCTCAGTCACTCCTTGCAGTGTTCTTCCACCTACAAACACATTATCACACCCGAATTTACCTTTGTGAACTTCTTTTGATACAGCATGTAAAGGTGTACATGTATCAGATCTCCTCGCCAGGTCAGGTTACCTCAGATTACAACACCATTCATTTGCACGTAGCAAGATTAATCCAAAGTAAGCATAAGCCGAAGTGTAGGCTTGAATAATCGCGTAGCTCTGGTAACCTGACCAGCAGAAGAACTGAACATACGTCCATTCATGTGATGAAAAAATCAATCGAAGTAGTTAGGAATATTCAGAAAGAAAATGTAAAGAAGATGCAAAGTAGTAGAGAGGAAGAAGGATCACAGATGAAATAACGAGAGAAAAGTAATAATGGAAGGTGCCAAGATTATGTTCTACGACCCACCTCCAGGCGACACTGCATATACTGGCTTTTCACCTAGCCACTGTCGAACAGGCTTCATTCGATTACGCGTTGATCGACGGATATTCGGATCGGGTGGAGGCTCCGGATGAACTGAACATGGTGTACTGCAGGTGATGAACAAATAATCAAACGATAAGGAAATTCCTGGCCTCTTCTTTGGGATAGATAAAAAAGGATCACGTACTGACCAATTTTACGTGGCTTCAAAACCATTGGCTCAAGTTTTCGTCGATTCCTTTCTCCCTCGACCTCGATGAGATCAGGGTCTGCAGTGACTGTGGAGTCCTCTGGAAAGTAAATAATGTATACAATCGATAAGAATATCGCAAAAACAGACAGACATCAATTGGTAAAGATTGCTGGGAAGCGCAGGGCAGATGTCATGCTTCGCGATTTCAGCGGTTCGCGAACGTGTCACGTGTCGAGAGTCAACGCGTAAACCCGAGCTACCCTTTCGACGCGGGTTGACTTTCGCCACTTTTTTACGCGCACGAATTGCTAGAATCGCTTAGCTCGCGAAAACCGCAGTCCGTTATGTCTAAAAAAAAACAAAAACCGCTAAACATACCTGATGACACTGCTTCGAAACCACCATCAAACGAATCGGTTGCCTGATAGCCCGAAGATGCGTGGAGCGGACGTTTGCAAGGCTCAGGAGGGGCCCGATGAGGCGTGTTTGTCGAACACAGACTATCAGCCAGCAGTCCTGTGAAATAATATTTAGACCTCTAACTGACAGATAAAAACATAACTCACTTTGAGGTTCCTGCCTTCTCGTCACTGCTTCACTGGCAGCACTTTGAACGGGTTCTTGATCCATTCTTGCTGGTGATATATCTAAACATCATTGCAGAGAACTCAATTCAAAATTGCTATTGGATCGCATAGGGATGGTCCGCAAGCGCTTATTTCAAAAATTTCGATTATGTGAAGAATTCAAACTGTTCAACGGCCTCTAGTGAAAACCAAGAGCGACTCCATTTCTGACCCACCTTCCAAACTCAGTTGCCGAGCAGCATCCATGAGCGTCTTCTCGTATTCATCCGGTATGGCATCCTGTAAGAAACACATAGATCGTGGCAAAATCCTACAACATTAGGAAAAATTGTGGATTCGTCAACGCACAAGAGAAGTCGTGGAGACGGCATTTCTTCCGGCGGGAATTCGAGGAGACTGGAAGCAACGGATATTTTTTATCAGATTCCACGACTTTTGATTCTTTTTGACACAATGAGACTAATGCCTTCAAAATCACGATGGATGACATAACTTGAATCCCCAGCCGACTGTGGCTGAGTCGCAGCATCAGGAATCATGGATGGCTGAGGTGTGTGATCGCCAGCGGAGGCGTTTGCAGCAGCGTTCTCCATCACCCGTTGCTCCTCGTTAGTGCTCGCATCAATGGATTCTGGTGAAGCTCTTGGAGGCTCTTTCTGTTGAGGTTTATAATCACCGAAGCGCTTGAGAAAGATTGGTGTGCTTGACACCGGAGCTCTCCTGAGTGAGGAAACGATTACACTTGACATAGAAACAGAAATTGATACAAAAGAACCTCAGGGAAGAGGGAAGTTCCGTCCAGTCGCAATCTAGTTGTGGGTCCACGACGGACCGTCCCACTGCGATCGGCATTAGCAATTGTCATGCGAGTAGAGTCTTCAGATAAAAAATTTCAATCAGTGATATCTATAATAAAGGCCTCTAAATCTGACCGAGTGGCTGGAACGGCGTCACTGGGGCGGGCAAACCGTAATCTCGTGCAACTCCAACCATGGGAGAGTGTAGCACTTTTTCGCATAACTTCCTTTCCTTCCTGGAAGAGAACTAAATCATTGGAAACGTTTCCAAAATTTCTGACTTACACAACCACTTTTGTTTTTCAGAGCTCACCTGCCTCTTCCATTCCCTGTGACAAGTACCGCCTTCAGAGATGCGGGGACGTGACAAACGTTCAACGCTTTCCTGGAAATAATTGGGAGTCAGAAAAATGAAGCTAAATTCAAATTTTTCGGAATGACAGTACTTCAAAAGCAGCCTCTTCTATTTTTTTTTTTGTTTTTTTTTTTTTTTTTTCCTCTTTTTGCGACTCAAGCCTGCGAAGGGAGTCTGTCCACCCTTTGGATTGGCAGGTGACATTTGCGAAGAGGAATTCAATGAAACCTCCGGCTAAAAACCTTCACATATGTCACAGCAAAACGGGAAATCTCGTAAACGTACTGTATTTCGAACACGCGACGGCTGAAACCAGGAGCACGAGTTGGAGTTGCTTGGGATGGCCTTGGATCTGACACCGGATCAACGACAGAGTCATCACCGGACTCAACTGATGGCTGTTGACTTATATCGGACATTGTAATAGATATTTCCATAGCATCTTAATTGCACTGTTCAGTTCCCACAAAAGATACGAAATGTGTAAAAAGTGAACTAATAGAATATAGCTTCGTGAATGTCCTCACGAAATCTTCATTTTGGAAGTGGTAATAACTGATAACGAGAGAAAAGCGGAAATCCAGTTCCATATTCTTTAGCCACGCGTGTATAATTTCTGTTTTCAAAAGGATTCGCGACCCTTAAGCACCGTTGTTCCATCTTCTTCAACTTTAGATTTTGGTCAGACTCGGCGATGCAACGCGATGGAGGCGATCGCTCCATCGCTTGTCCACCGCGTCGCAATCGCTCTGCCGAGGATCGCGTCGCTCCGTCGAAGGTCCATCGCGTTGCAATTGCCGAGTCTGACGACATCGCTTAGCTGGCTGGTATGTGATATATCCTTTTCTTGGTCATTGAAAATATTTCCAATATTTCCCTCGCCACTGCCACTTGAATTGCCCATGCATAATAGGGTACAGATACAAGAAGTCCACTATGCAGGCGCGAGAGTTCACTTTCAATGATACAGAAGGTCTAGGGCGCGGAATTCCAGCAAAATTCATGTTAGCAGTGACCGAATCTGTAGCCAACACATGGAGATGCTCGGATTTTTCGCTCAAGAAGGCAAAAGGGACGAAAGGACAGCGCGAGAGCTCTTTGGAAGTGCCCTTGCTCTCATAACTGGCACCCGAGCATCTATCCATGCTGAAGAAATGGCGTATATAGTTCACCTCGGACGACTTATCAGAAACCCCTACGCATTGTATATTGGTTCTTGCCAATCGTGGGAAATTTTAGAAAAAAAGGGTGTAGATGAAGACTGTAAAAGTCTTTTGTTCATAGCAGAAGGCACTCTTTGAATGAAGGGCATCTGCTAATTGCCACTGACAGCAAACAAATATCAATAAAGAGAAATTTAAACACAAAAAAAAACAGAATAAGATAAACATGAGTACTTGTTTTGCACTTGGTTGCCGCCATTCGATTCAGTCAAGAAAAATCTGATACGTTACCAGGTAACGAGAACAAAAAGGAACAGATCAAACCAAAGCAGCTATACCTTCATTTGCGGGGGCTTTCATCCTCACAGGTGTTTTTACTAACGTCCGCTGCTGAATTTTACATATGAGTTAAACATTCTACACTTTAAATAGGTAACAAGAGCTACCTTTTTAGAGGGTAGAGCTGCAAACAAAGTTCTTCCAGGTGATGACACATCCACGTCCATCATTTCCAAGATAGAAGCGTTTTTC